TTGCAAAATATCTAGCAACAAATGTGCTTGGAAAATTGTTTTTCTAACATTAAATAACGAACTTCATTCTTACTTTTCTTCAGCTACAGGTGGTGAATAGGGATAATATTGTATTCTGTCAAAAAGTTCGTTGTCGATACTTCGTTGGTTCAATCCTCCCCGAAAGGAAAAAAATAGATTTTACATGATGTTTCTATGAATAGATGGAGGGATGGATGGATGTGTGATGAGAATATTATGTGACGAGCATTGCGAATATTAGAACTTATGAGATCTAACTTGGTGTGCTTGTCAGAAGTAAGGTTTATTGTTTTTGTAACTCACGTAATTTTAAACCACCAAAAAACTGCAAAGATCGTAAAAATTGCTACTTTAGCCTCAACTAAGGGAGCTGAGACCATGCAATAAGGCGTCATGTCCCTGTCTAGTTCCCCGCCACACACACATTTTTTAGTTTTAAAGTCTTGTGGAACAATTGGTAGGGAAATAAGGACCTATTATTTTAAATGATAGGCGCCAAAAACTAAAATTCTTCAGTTTTACCTATGATGTAGGAGACAAGTGGCTCGGTCGACGAATCAGTTCTTACTTCGCTCGCTTCCCATCGCATTAATCAGCAAGCTCATAAGATTTACCTGAATACAATAGGTGGAGAAATAAATGTTACATTTTAAATGGAAGGTGACAAAAACCGGAATATGTTTCTGGTTTGTTACGTTAGCGTAGCGGGCACAGTAGGACGGGCTGGGGTGACATATAAACGAGCCCTAGCATCATCTTTTACGATACTGCTCATAAATATCCCATTAGCGTATTACTGACATTTGTAAAAGCTTTGAAAGGTAGTGCATAATTTTTTTTACTACTTCCAAACATTACAATAATCAAATTCTGCATTTCACAAAACAAGTTCGAGGAAACATTGCAGGATGTCATACATGCCATCGTTTAATGTTAGAAGAGAACAAAATCATACCATGAAGTATGAGTACAAAAAAATATTTAATATGATCAATAAAGCACTTAGACAAATAATTAATAACTAAAAGCCCTCCTGAAAACACTTATATAATAATCACTTATTAGTATTTGATTCAATGTCACTTTTTTGAGCTTGATTAAAATTAACAATGGAAATTATTTTGGATGCCTCTACTAGTTCATTTGATTATAATTTCAATTTATAAATTAGGACTTTCGATCATTCTTCACTTCATAAAACATATTTTGAAAGTTAAAGTAGCTCAAATTCGTTAACACATTCGAACGGCTAGTCCGTGACCTACCTATGTGTTTAAGTATGGCAAGCCCAACGCGTCAATTTAATTTTACATACGTATATTTCGAGATTTAATTCCATTCTGACCACATATGCATATTACGGAGTAGTGGGGCGCACTAGAAGAAATTAATTTCCAAAAATGAAAAAAAAAAGTCTCAAAAGAATCTCATTTTGAAGAACACTGCTTAAAGAAACATAACTCGGGTTGCACTTATCTTCCTGGGTGTTCAACAATTTAATTAAAGTGTTTTGTATTTCGAAATACTGTTATAAACATTACGGCGCGCTAGAGTGTCTGAGGGCTAGCTAGCTTGATGAAATGGAAAGTTCTGAAAAGCAGGAACCCAGAAGCTCAGAAGAGCAGAAACCTTTACTTAATGGAACCCCAAATTTGGTTTGCAAAAAATTGCAATCTCCAAAAAAGGAACCTCGTTCCTCTCTAGAACACAAAAATCTGTTTTTTCCTGTGTTTATGGGTTGCCAGTGCTCACCCAACAGTTGTTAACAACTGTTATAGTTACAAACAGTTAACAATCAAATATGCCATAATATGCTAACTTCTATGTCTTTCGTCTTATGTCTCTTAGAAGAAGAACCAGAAGGTCTCTAGCCAGCAGTATTACGCTCAAGGGGTTTTGTGACCATATTTTCTTATAAAACAGCAAAATCCATCTTTCCTTAGAACGTTATTTAAAGGGGACATTATAGAGGATTACATGTTGTTTACATCAATAGTGAAACGGAGAATCTAAAATACTTCTTCCCAACGCGAGAAAACACGTAGATTCTAAGTTTCGTAGTCTAAAATTCAGTTCTCTCTCCCCGTTCTCATATTCAGAAATTGATTCCTAACCTGAGAATGGTTCCTTCACCTTTAAATACATCCCCACTCACATTCAGCTATTTCATTATTTCAAGAACAGTGCAAGCCCTCATTAATGCGTACACTGCAATCGTCATTAAAACCTTTCTGAAACACGCTTGATTTTGTTCAATTTAGGAGTGATCATATCTAAATCATAAGTGAGAAAACAAAGGACAAAACCGTATAGTTCAGATTTTAAAAATAGTTCTCACGTAATATCACTCCAAGCTCTTCCGATGTCACATTCGCATGTCATTTCGCCACTCGAGATTTTTCTCCACAAGAATGAATCAGTGTCGCGTCCCGACAATATATGTAATTTGTAATAATTCTCCCGCCTGGAGCCGTGAAGGTATAGTGAAGAAACAATGAAAGCGTAACGGACAGGAATAAGTTACCTGCCACAGTCATGGTTCAGCCACAGGAATAAGTTACCTGCCAACCCATTCCTCTAGGTGTACAAAATTTGAAAAGTATATTATCTAAGGAAATTTGTAAAATGTAATAATTAGTAAGTTAGGCTTATTAAAATAGTTATTTTATTATAAATGTTATTTTTATTAATAGTATTGTGATAATTAGTATTAAATGCATTGCTTTATTAAATATATAATTATATTTAAAGTAGTAGCTGAATTGGAGTGTCGTGACGTGTTGTGAAAGAGAAGTGAAGTGAAGTGAAATGCAGTGCAGTGCAGTGCAGTGCAGTGTATTTAAAAAGTGAATTTATTAGTTAAAATATCTGTGCAGGACAGTTATAAAATGTAGAGTTAATGCTGTTATTGCTATTATTGTCTTTATTGTTATCATATTATTAGTATTACTGTTACTATATTAAAATGTTTTAAAATTACATTGTATCAATATTCCTAACTCTAATATATTAATTGTAGTGTTCTGCCACCAGGTTGTATAAACCTACCTGCAGAAATAATAACTCTATCTAAGGCCTCAAGTCACAGAATCAAGTATTTCTGACAACCACTGTGTATTATTTTGATTTTTCATATTTTGATATTTTCTTTGTAACAGTTTTTCGCGTGTAACGTGAGTGCATGTGCAGTACTTACTGTACATGCACTCGCGTTCAGTAGTTAACGGTATTTGGTTCCCAACGGGCAGTTGTGTATTTATATTTTCAAACGTGTTAGAAGATCAACTAGTCGTTGTTTCTTGTATTAGGATTAGAGGAGACGGAAGAACGGAATGGTGTGAATAATTTTTTAGAAAAACGGAAACATCTAAACGGGATAGGAAAGCGGGAAAACATCTAAACTATATAAGTTTTAATTGAAAATTAATTGGGTAATGAAGAGATTTAGAAACTATTTAGAAAGTTTTCATCATAAGTCTTCATAATTTTTATTTTTAACTATAAATTTATCTGGTTTCTTATTTATCTATAATTTTTAAAAAATTATTATTTTACAACAGAAACATATTTTAATTTTCCATTACAATTCACGAACTTCACGTTCATTCTGTTCTAGGTTCGTCAGCTAGTAAAGACATTTGAAGATATTGCTTTTTTCTGGGCACAAAATCGATGAATTATTATTTCCGAATCATTTAATTAATTACGTAATCAAAAATAGCGTTCTGTGTGATAACTCTCGCATGAGGACCACCCCTACATGTTGCCAGGGTATGAGCTATCCAGAAGAACAGTACCACAAAAATTGTAATAAAAGATTTCAAAAAGATCGTTTTGTAAATTACAGTGCGAGAAACAACAAGACCGGCCTCGAAAATCAGGTCTTAAAGCTCTTGAAAGTGGTGTGTCAGTTATAGGCAGTCAATGTGTCAGAAAGAAGCCCATGAGGGTCATGTATTACGAATTGCATTTGCACCTAGCTTCTTTAGACTTTCCAACAATGCAGTACTATTTGCGAAGTGAAAGAGAAAGCAGTCCCTCTCCGGGTAGTACGTTCTTTGGACTCATTTGTTAACATTTATCAAATATGAACAGAAGGAAAATACAGGTGTCTCAGAATAAATGTTACAAACTTCTAAAGCATGTTGATGTCGAAGATGATCATGTTATGCCAATGATCGTGAGGTGCGAAACCTCTTACAATGAAGTAATACATGTGGTATGTGCTCCTGGTTGTATGGTATTTATCTTGCACTGGCGTTTGACAGGTACATAATATACCTTTGCATCAAAACCTTAGATCGCGATAAGCTGCTTAGCAATCAAGGGTATATATTACATAAGTAATTTCGTTACATGATATTTCTCACATTATTTCAATTGACAAAAAGTGATCATCTTCGACCTTAAACATGTTATAGAAGATTCAAACATTTTTTTATGAATGACTTGAGTATCCCTTTTGCTCTTACCTAATTCATCTTAATAACCTCAGTGCTACAGAAATAAAACATAATAAAAAATACTGCAAAAATGAAACATAACATTGCTTAGTTTAGGTGTAAAGGACCATTTACAATCCAAACATAAACATAATAATGGCGTTTAACATAAAAGTTAGGACTACGTTCATAAGCGGACTCATTCACAATGCGTTCGCATAAGCATAACATGTAAGACGTTAACTTAGAAGCTTGCAAGCTTCTGTGCTTATGCTTATGTAAGACATGAGAAATGAACCAATCACAGAAGGGTAACTCAAAATCGAGAATCGAAACAGGATCGAAGTCGGTAGTCGAACTAACATGAAGACAGACGATACCTCGAAATAGATTCTCACTAATAGTAAACTAGAATGTCTGACAGCCAATAAAAACTCTTATGTTTATGTTAGACACTGTGAATTCTTAAGTCTATCACTTATGTTAATGTTTAGGTCTATGGGTATGTTTAATGGGTCTTAAATGCGCAGCGCTTGCCTGATGTAGGTGTCGGGCGGCGGCGCGGCGGGATGCGGCACGGAGACGTTGGCCAGCACCAGCGCGCCGTCGCGCTCCTGCCACGCCGACAGCACCACGAAGTCCCGGCGCGCCACCAGCCCGCCCAGCCGCTCCGCCGTCACTTGGTACGACACGTGCACCCGCTCGTCCACACGCTGTGCACGCGCACACACGCACACTCACTTCTTTCTATCGGGATCGCGCCAGCCCTAGCGCAAGCGGTGCACCGCACAAGGGTGGCTTTTGCGATAATAAAATTACGAATTTTTGCGATTAAAATTTACGACATTTTATTTAGTTTTTTTAAAAAATCTGCATTACTGCTTGCAAATCTGTATATTTTAACATTTTTGTAAATGTTGGAGGTATCTTGTGAGGAAGGAGAATCGTTGTTTGAGGCACCTTGCTCTGGGACAGGGTCGGCGTCAGGATCAAGAGTGGAAAAATTGCTCGGCCGCTGGTTGGGATGTTATATGAAGACGCATTTGCACTACAAGACATGCTGGATCCCTGTACATATGAAGCTTGGTTATACACTGAATCTTGAAATCTGAGGCGCTTAATAGAAGGAGAATGAGCTGTACTTATTTGTGGAGACCGTTCAAAATATCTCGCTGGGTGGTGTAGGCAGCTGCGTGAAGGTTGAATTATCAGGTTGGCTCGCTGCATGTAACTGATGCTGCTGTAGGTGATTAATTAGATACGGCTCCGTACAAAGGAAGACGTTAAGTGCGTGTAGAGCTGACGACACCACATCTGATGGCGGCGGAAATGATGCATTCGCGTTTTCTGCCATTGTTGGATTGAACATTTAACCTTACGAAACTATATTCACTTCTGAGTACTCGTCTACGAGAAGACCGACCCGATGGGGCCCGTCGCCAGGGGAACAACATCTCGTGCTATATTAGTAGACACCTCGTGATATGTCTAGTAATAAACACTGATTAAAACGCACTTCACTGCGCTGAGATATTTAAACAAGTCACTCGCTTGCTGAACGGCCGTGTTACGGCCCCGCTGGGGCACTTCCTATCTCTGGTCACAGTCGAGTTACTACGGAGCGATAAGCAGCGGACGAGGTGTGCACCGTTCGGTAGCCTCGCGCGCAATGTACAATGAATTGAATTGAATTGAATTGAATTGAATTTGCCTTATTTGCTATTTGCTTTGCCACAATGCTTCTTGATACACTAGCAATGTGTACACGTAAGCTTCCGCGGCTCGAGGGGTGCTGACGCTTTCGCTCGTTTTGACATTTGTCGGCGGCACGCGATTCTCACGAGGGCAGGTGAAGGAAGCCTGCTATTTGGGCGGTGATTCCTCATGCCCTGAGGAAAGCCTGTGACATGTCAGGCGGAACGTTTTACGCGGTCCAGCCAACGACGCGGCGTCTCCAGGATAGCCGAGAATTTACACTAGCAATGTCTCTATTTCCCATTCTTCGGTCACATTTCATAACCTACCTTATTAAAGGGTCATCTTGATGACTGACTACATACTTCCCCATCCCGACTATTGCATTGTGCCCGGAGGCTTCAATTTATCTGAGGCCTCTTCCTTCCATACGTGACACATAACGCTTATGTACATAAGCTCGAGAGTGGGCTACATAATGCATTGTTGGTGGTTTTCTGTTGTTGTTTTTTTTTATCCATGATTCGAATTTCTTGCTCAGTCCTGTCCACGTGTTCGAAACTGTACTCGACTACAGGCACCGCCAAACTACCAATTGCTGATATTTTATTCCTGGTTTTCAGGGCGGAGTGCAGAACGAGTCTCACTTTTCTGTAATACTTCCTACGAATTCTCTCTTTCATTGAGTCGTTCGAGATGATCTCACATTCTTTAATGCCCAGATATTTGTTAGTTTTGTGTGGCTCAAGACTATGATTCACAGTGTGTATATCAACTTCAATGCTCTCTGACGTTTTTTATGATATATGTATGTATGTATGTATGTATGTATTATTATTATTATTATAAAAGATACATTCGTTGGTTGGTTGTTAGTGATTCCGGGCGCGTCAACAGCTAAGGTCATTAGTCCCGTAAATGTAGTACATGTTTTTTTCAGCTGAAGGTGGCGGTGATCTTCTCCCGCTGGATGGCGAGATCCGAAGCCGACCAACCGTCAGTTAGTAGAGTTTTCCCCATCCAGGTATCTTCCATCAGCGCGGCACCGCCCTGGCCGGGACAAGCTCCCTCGCATTCTCCCGGCTTGTGTGGTAATGTAGTGCATGTCAGTGTAAGTGTGTGTAAGTAACGCGTGAGGATAGGACAAGGATAAGGTAGGAAAGATCGCGTGCGGCCCGTGGCCCGTTTGCTAGGGTACTGCTCCAAAATTAGTCCGGTGTTGATCGAAGAAACCATAGAAAACCTCAGAGAAGAGCAGCCGGACGTCAGAATTCTCCTCCAGACAGCGACTGAATTCGACCTTCTAGCTGACATGCTAGTATCGAAATTCTCGCCACTGTAAGGACTCGAACCTAGGACCTCCCGGTCAGAGGAAGTGCAATAACAGTATTGTTTGCTCTGAGACACATCTACATTTGAAAATGTTACAATAGTGCTAGCATACGAAAGAATTTACATCGTAAGATACTTTAAAATACATAGATCTGGCTCCACACAATCCAATTTTTGTGAAAATTGCTCTTTTAATTAAATGAGAAAAGTTTGAAACATATATGCTAATAAGTTATGAACATGCTGAAATTGAAAGTACTTGCCAGAGCGAAAGTAGATTCAAATTACCTATGTTTCCATGTAGGTTCTCTAAAAGTCCATTTAAAGAAGAGAAATGCATTTTGGAATAGTTCTTATAGATTGGGCAACCTATTATATACATTTAAGAGTATGTCCAAGCCACATACGCCGATTTAATAAGATTCATTTAACTCACAAGAAATTCCTTGACAAAACTGAGAACATTCTAACAGAAGGTGGAATGCAGCCACTGACAGATAAATGTTCGATAACGGGCCAAATGCTGCAGACACTGAATGTTATATAATGATGAAAATATAACGAAAATGATGACGCTGTTTACATCTTCAATGATCTTTCCTAATACAACTATTCTCTTTCGTGTGATATTTTCACATTCGAATCCTGATACAAAATCGTAATATCTGGCAAAAATTCCATGACACGATGTTCAGTACGGAAATGGAGCATTATTTCTCACACTAATTTTTAATAACCAGATAATATAACGAGAAACGGATTTTTATGATTTACATTCTTATCCTATGTCGAGCGTTTTATTTATCTCATAGGCAAAATGTAAGTAAAATAAAAGGGGTCAGAGCATGTCGCATCGCTGTCGTGTACAACGTGTGTTCCCGCTCTTTCAAAAAATCTTTGTATACACTTTTTATCAGCAGTACTCACCTCCAAAAGTAGCGATTCCACAATTACAGGATTCCACTTTGCATACTCGTCTGGACTGTCGAACAGCAACTGTAGCAGTGCCTCTGGTGCCATATCCACAACGCCCTAAAACAATGAATCTATGAATCTAAATTTACAAATCAATTACATTTTGCCTTTGGTAAAATACCACTTCTAAAGATTTGTAAATGCATCCTTTTTGTGCACATTCTGTTGCAGAGCGACGGTCAATACTTCTTTATCTTCTCCTTCATCAATGGCCCGGCCGTACCCATTATCTTTTGGTTCTTCAGAATCTCACTTGCCATGGACGTGGAGCTAGGGGGAGCGCTAGGCCGCTTACACTTCTTCCGAATAAAATGTACTTTGCCTAATGTTGTAGAATCAGTTCATTACTACTTACATTTGGTTAAGAGAAAACTGAAATGAACTGATTTTACATCTAAAGACCCCAAACCAATATGTGTTTAATTAAATTACATTAATGACTCAAATTTCACTGAGATGGTCGTTTAACAAGATTTTGTATGCGCGTTTTCAATTTGTTATTAAAATCTTTTTCGTCAGTTTAACTTACAATTTTCTTTCGTCAAACTTGAGAGCTTCCCCGTTGATCACCCCTCAAACAGTTCAATAGGATTCGTAACCATCTCCCATTCGTTGTCATTTGCCTGTACCAGCGATACTAATCTCCACAGCTCCAACACTTCCTAAATCTTAAAATTGTTATTACTATCTGCGACATTCACGAATAAAGATGTTTGGTATCGGATAAATATAAAATCCACTGCAGACTGCAATCATTTTTCTAATGAGCAAGAACAATGACTGTGGGTGACCTCTACAGAATTTGGGGATAATAAGGACTGTTCCTAATAACGCAAGGCCTTGTGCATGACCTGGAAGATCGGACAAGTTCTGACATAAGTTATCGGAATAAATTCCAGAGCTTCGATTGCTAAAAAAACGTGTTTTTACACCCTACAACCAGCTGACCACGAGTTCCAAACTTTTGGATTTAAGTCGTTTCTTAGTAGTCTTTCTTCGTATTGCGACGTTCAGATCGCACGGCACAGTAGCATCTGCTCTTTTACATAATTTTTCCTCCTTTTTTCCTCCTTGATTTTAATAAATCACTGCTACCGTACATTCCGTGTGAATTTGTTGGTCATATTATTATTATTATTATTATTATTATTATTATTATTATCATTGTTGTTATTATTATTATTAGTTGTAACCTGCGGCAGCAAAAATGCTATTAGACACAAAATAGTTTTCCAAAACATAGTACACGCACACTTAAGAACAAGAAATAAAATAATATTGTATAATGTTACAGTAAATTGAATATTTTAACAGAAATAAGGACTAGAAATACTGCAATAAAATAGTAGAGTATGAACAGTTATTTACATACCAAAAATATAAAAAAAGTTAGTGTTTCTTAATACAACACGTCAATAGCACAAATTTAATGGTGGGCAGCAATTTTCTTGGAGCCTTCAAGTATGAGAATAAGCAAAATAACACAATCAAGTATTTGCATTTTCAGTCAAAGTCGACACGATTTCATTGTTTTTGGATGTTACCCGAATTCCTGAGTACCTAACGATAACCACAGACTACTCTCCCATAGTCGGAGGCTACCTAGTTTTCTTTCACTTTCGGCGCGCATCGGATATTAGCTTTACTGACTAGTCGCCTGCAGCAGAAAAAATTCTTTCTAGTGGCTTGTAGCACACATTATTCTAACATTACACTTACATTTTTCCACAAAGGTTTTATTTATAATAAAATATTTTCGTGTTAAGGATACAAAAGACGTGTTTACCTCCCCCCACTCGTTCGCAACCCAAGGTTCTACAACGAAAGGCATCTTAGAGGCGAGTGCCCTCCTGGCCCCCGAGATATTAACATGGTAGGAAGTCAAGTAGCGGATCAGCTGCTCCTGGAACTCGGCCGCAAATGTATTTGTGTATTTTTTAATTGTTCGATGCGTTCTAATATTATAGTCGAATGCATATTCACACACAGATACATCGAGTTTTTTTTACCCAGATATATTTACTTTTTTATGCTTAGATAATACAATGATCCTTATTCACGCACTGGTATGTGTACAGCGAATGTGCACATATGTGTACAGCGAATGTTATCGGCGGCGCTGATGTAACGGTTATCGATGCGGTAATGTATCGGACTGTTATACCTAAGTTTGCGGGTTCAAACCCGATTGAAGCCGTGGGGCGAAAAAATCCTTCGTACACCTTCCTTTGGAGGGGAAGTGAAGCCGGTTGTTCGATGTTAGTAGATTTACTGCATGTAAAAGATCCTCAAGCCTAAATGTAGCCTCTGAGCAAAATTTAAATCGCCTATTTCGTCGCGCAAGAAATATCTCGTTTCTCCGCTAGTTGGTGAAATTTGCCTTGTCAGACGAAAGAGCAGGCCTCATGGCCTGAGTCTCGCCACGTAAAATAAGGCATTCACCCGTGGTTCAACTGTAAACGAACATTAAGAACCGCAAAGTGTACGACACTAAAGTTATATTATATGACTGGTGTTACTGCTTACTGTTACTGGAACATTAAAATCGATATAATATATTGCACATTGTAATTAACTAATGTAGACAATACCGTTTAGTAGTAGAACATTCTTAACGCCAGCATTCATTCACGTCAACAGCTGCAAACATCACGCACTTAACGTCACGCAACTGTTGGAGCGTGGTAGATTAAATGAAGAGTTATATGAGGTAAAGATGGGAAATCGGGAATAATAACATATCTAAAGCAACTTCGTTTAGGCAAGTTTATATTACTTGCCAGAAAAAATGAACCACCGAAATTCGATATGTTGTGAAAAACGAAAGTCTTCGCTATTCGAAGTGGATAGCGTTGTTTAACTATCAAGGAATCATTTTAAAGATACCTAAATCAACAATGGAAATTTACAAGAAGACGATGAAACTTCATTTTTACTTTCGTTGTATTTTATAAAAAATCCATTGTATGGTTGCTTGTCGCAGCAGGACGCACCTTTATTTTAAATATCTGGTTCATCCCAGGAGGTTTGGCGCTGAAGGCGTCGCCAACGGCCGACTGCTTCTGCAAGCGCCATTCCGCCGTGTGCATCACCTGCCACGACACGTCCAGGATGCGCGCGGCTTCTGCTTTGAACTGCTCACGTGTCTACAAAAAAATGAAAAGCGACATAACCTCCCTTTCAATACATTGACAATATGTTCTTAGCATCTATGGGGAGACAAAAATTTGTTTCTCACGAAGTACTGACTGTACAAATAAAATTGAAGTGTCTGCTTGTGTTTTAAAAAAGCATTTTTAAAATCTCATATTTTTATTTATTACTGGTAATACTACGAGTGCTTTGGAAATTGTTGATAAATTCCCGACTCTCGAAGCGAGGAGGGGATTTATCTGAGAATTTCCAAACCACGAGTGGTATTTAATAGGACTCTTCCATGAGTGAAATTATGTCCAACAGAGTTCCAAAATGCGCCAAATATTGAAATAACTGAAAGTATATGTTAAAATAAGAGGTTATGTTATATTAAATATGTTGTTTATAGGACATCGACAATCTACGATGTATACCGCCTCCTAAAGTAGATGAGATTATGATTGGCCAGGCGGTAAGAAAAATCGGATAGAAAAAACGATAAACTTTTTGAGATACACCGCCCTGATTGGGGAATTTTGTATGTATAGTTAAACACTATTGGTTTTAATTTCACGAGTGGAATGGTCTATATAAATACACGTGGAGGATATGTGATTTCAAAATAACTGAATTTTTGTAATATATTTAGATGATATAAAAACCAATTCGTATTGTTTTCACGATTTCTATAAGTTGGGCCGAGTTAATCTTTAAAACGACTGAACTGATTTCGAAAGGTTTATCACTGAAAGGTATTTTATTACGCTAAAGTTTTCTAATTATTTTCTATTTTATGAAGAAGAATATTGGTTAGTTCATTTATACACATCTACGTTTTCATTCCGAGATCAATAAAATGAACCTTCAAAACACGAGAAATTTTTTTAAAAAAAACACACACACCACACCTACCACATCTCCTTTTCCTATCCCTTATACAAAATTTAGTGTGTTCTCTTTCTGATTTTCGAAGTATTAAGTTAGAGCTGGAGTAATTGATGGACAAAATTGTTACTAGAAGAAACTAGGAGTTTGGCAGGAGTATGCAAAATGCATCTGTTTGAAGCTGCTTATAGTAATGGCGATCGTAACTACAAGCATCGCAAGGTGGGGCGGGCAGGGCGAAGCCTGGCCTGGCTGAGCAAGACAGGACGAGGAGGAGGACGGTGGATATGGACGGGTAGGGCGTCGCAGGATTTGATAGCGCGGAACGGGGAAATGAAGGGGTAGAGCTGGTGAGGGTAGGTCAGGCCGAGTACGTATGAATGCTTAAAACATAATTATCTTCCCTGTCTAACGTATAAACTACCGAGCAACATCGGATTCTCTCTATTGAAAATGGTAATTGGTGATGGTATAAAAATTGCGAATAGATGAATGAAGTTATTGTATGTGGAGTTAATTAAAAAAACGATTGTTTAAAGTGAAATAAGGACAAGAAGGAAAATTACGCCTACTAAGCGGTTGAAAAGTAAAACTTTGCATCTTACCCATACGTCATCGGCTTCCACACTGTTTTTTCCAAACTTCATTTCACAGTCTGTAAAAAAAAAGTCATTCAAAACATCGAATACAATGTAATGCAAGTATCAAAATAGCTGTTCTGAAACTTTGCCCTCGAATATTGCATTCTAATAAGTAAGATGATTGGGAGGAGTGTGATAATTTTAATATTGTGTCTATGAATTTTTCATATGACTTTATATTTAAACATAAAACATGATGCGACGGCTTCAATTTTCATTTGATCTGCTCATTAAGACTACGTTTAATTAATTTCATAGTTTATTTGCTAACCACACATCATTCAATTTCTCTTGTTTCTTTGTAGAGAAATCTTGTGGAAATGTATGATGGAGTTTTTCCATACAATGGGCTTGAAAATGCAATTTTACACGATTTTCTACATAAATGTTTAAATAAAATTATAATTGTTTTCTGCTTTTTTTTTACTCTGAGCATTATTTCTCTTTCTTTCGGTGTTGTCAACTCTAGTATCTCATTTAATATGTTTTGTGTGCAATTGAAAAAGGTAACATTAATTGTTGTAATAAAATGCAATGAAGTCAAAAATAGAGATGCTGCTTTTCTTTAATATCGTGTTAGTTTCTGTAGCTGTGTGACGAAGAAAAGCAGGCAGACGGAGTTTGCTAATTAGGATGAAGGGAAAACTTCATGATCGCCACACTCTTACCCCTCCAAGCGTGGGAATTAAACTAAGTCCGGGCATGATGGACACCGCAAGCAAGTCGGGCAATCGACCCAAGACCTTTCTTTAAATTGAAAAAATGCCGGGAATATCCCGAGGAAGTAATCGAGACAAATGAGGTACCACTCGATGCGCCTCTGTCTTCTGGTGGAGAAATGATAATTTTTGTCGATCCATCCAAACGATTCTCAGAATTTTCTTTAAAAATATTTGTTTTTTAGCTACCAAAACGTGTTTTTGGTGACTTACGGCATCTTTATAGGTGGTCATTAGCTAATTCTATTCCTCTCGACAAGAGAAATCGATTGACATTATTCTCAACCGGTTCCCTCTAGAAGAATTCTAACACAAAAGTACGTGATACAAAATCCGTGTGATGGATTCAATGCAGCTATGACACTGTTTTACCAGCATTTACATGAATCTTTACGACTTCATTCATTAGACTGTCGACAGTTAAACTAAATTTTGTAATGAAACAAAAATTTAAACAAGTATTTTAAGCGACACTTTTTCACGTAACTTTCTGTGTCCGGAAATGGAAGACCCAGGCAACTGTAATTTGTTTAAAATTATGTTTATGAACTTACAAAGTACAAATAAAACGCTTCAACATTAAAATACCTCTGGGAGTCATCACGCGTAGCTAGTAGGTAATATTGATAAGACAAGCTAAGTTAGCTCTCAAGAAATGTTTAGTTGATTTTTTCAATTTTTGGTCATATGTGGAATGTTTGTTGTAATGAATCATCGTAATGCTACGGTATCAAATGAAAGAAAATGTGAAAGTGTGAATTGTAATTGCCTAATATCTAATAAAAGAATTTATCATATGTGTGCAAATCAAACCATAATGTTACTTCACTTTCAAAAAATTGTAGTGAAACGTAAATAATCTACATGAAAAGAAACTTCAATGGTATTATTATACGCATCCTTCCATGGCTTCAATAAGTAGTTCCCACAAATAAATTATTAATATTTATATGCAGCATGCATTCACATTTATTTTCTTAAATTTTCGAGAAAAAATATAACTGCTTGGACAACTTTACCTTGCTTCTAGAGTGCGCGAGATCCTCAACGACGAATGCTGTGGCCTAGATAATCCGCTTGTCTGCTTGTGGAGGCTACGGGTCGGCCAGAGCACGAGTTGTGATAATCGGATCGAGTTAAGGTCAAGTTCATAAAATCAAATGACGCTTCAAAAGAAGAAAAGCAGCTCCGAATTTGTAACCTTATCAACATTATATTTGAAGCCGCGCGTCTCATGTCCTTTTTGTAAGGTAGATGTAAAAGAAGAATCAATGCGCCTCATGATTCAGTGCGTAGGTGGTGCTAACTATATTATTTTGCCTGAAGATTGAAGATGCAAGGTGATTCATTCGAAACACTTTACCTCGCATTTATTATGTATAATTGTTATGTTTAAAATGAAATATATTATTAAAACATTTTGAAATTGCTGAAGTTAACTGTGAAGCTTCATTCTCCCACTCATCTGTAAAATGTGCGTCTACTTACGAAGATGTTTCAGTACAAATGGATTAAGTTGAATAAAATATTATTTTTGATTCATAGTTAATAGCAAAACATATGCTATATTATAAAATTTTGTTTTATTGTAAAGAGCTCTTTCAGCCGTGTTGAAGCAATCTTTAGAACAAAAATTATTTTATTAAATGATTGGAAGTCTTTCACGACTGGCGCCTAAACCAGTGAAAGGTTCAAGATACAATTTGAAGGTGTTTCCATTTCTAAACGTTCCTGAAAGTTACCTTATTAAAATAGAGACCTAACTCAGCTAATATAGCTTGACATCCAATATAAGTACATAAAACAATATTGCAAAAATTGTGTCGTTTTATGATAAAGTAAGGATTTCTAAGATTTCAATGAGCAGCAATTATATAAATGAATGAAAAATCCGCGTGCCCATTCATTCATACAGTTAAACATGCATCAATTAATTATCTGTTTATATATTCTAACCTTTATTAGCAGTAGTATGTAGACCACGAAAATATCCCCGAACGTTTTCTTGAGCCCTCATTTCGCTAGATACGAGGGGAATGGGGGTTTGATTATTTTATTTACAGGACAATTATAGGAAATCTGTTGTTCGTTTTTCGATGCAACCTATTTTCTATTAGAAGGAAGCAAACATTTCTGATGATTGAAGTTTGTCAACAAAACTTTTGGCTATCATTCTGAATTCAACTATTATTAGGTAAGAAGTGAAAGGAGGCATGCCGGGGCTCAAGAAAACGTGCGCGTATAATAGCAGGAAAATCATTAACTATAAAAAACACTAGTCTTCGGATACTTCTCACGCTGACCGGAACGAGGTTACAAATCGCCTCACTCAGAAAATCAACACGTGTCATGACACTGACGAAGCTCACAAGATGTGCATGTACGAAAAAACTAATGGGAATTCGACGGTAAGATCAGTTTGCATATGCAACTTGAAATCTCATAATCGGAAAAGAATGGGTGTTAAGCTTTAAACGAATTTGCAGTTTAAATAATAATAATAATAATAATAATAATAATAATAATAATAATAATAATAATATAATCAGTAGATGAGTTAAAGTTGATGTGGTAATATCCAATTGTGTTGAATGAATATTGCAGGTTGAATAATTTAGGGGGAAAATTTAATTATGAATATTGCTTTATTTCAGTTGCCGCGCTTCGCGTCTTCAAATTGCTCTGTCTTGACAATAGAGCGCGATTGATTGTGTAAATTCAATGATTCAAAATGTAAACTCCGATCTTTAATGAAAGTGTGGGCGCCGTAACTTAAAGGAGATTTAGGATATACAATGAATTTTGACGTATGTGACATTTTTAATCGGAAGTTTTGATTTGCGTTACCTTAAACCACATTTCAATCGGCGAAATTTTATTTTTGTGAAAGTATGGCGAATCGACGGCCTGTTAAAAAATTAGATACAACCATAGTGAATAGAATTGCTGCAGGTGAAGTTGTCAAGAGACCAGCAAATGCATTGAAGGAAATGCTTGAAAACAGGTACAATATACATTTTGTGAAATGTTGTATAATTATAATTATTTTTCCAATAACCACCAGTAACATTTTGTGTTTACATTAAATAAATATGTTTTAATTATATTTTGGCAATTTATTTATTATGCTTTAGCTTGGATGCTGAAGCAAGTTTAATACAAGTAGTTGTCAAAGATGGGGGAATGAAGCTTCTTCAAATACAAGATAATGGATTTGGAATAGCCAAAGATGATTTGAGTGTTGTCTGTGAAAGATTTACAACAAGTAAATTAGAAACATTTGATGATCTAAAATCTATTTGTACATACGGTTTTAGAGGAGAAGCTTTGTCAAGTATTAGTCACATTGCTCATGTGACTATTGTCACCAAGACAGATGATGAGAGATGCGGATATAAGTAAGTGCCTAAAACTTATTTTGGATGATCTACAAATATTCTGTTGTCTGTACATTTGCACTATGAACAGGGTTTCGTATGCTGATGGAAAAATGAAAGGAATTCCTGTTCCATGTGGAGTAAATCGTGGAACGCAAATCACTGTTGAAAACATGTTTTATAATGTACCCACACGTCACAGAATGTTAAAAAATTTTAATGAAGAATTTTCTAGAATAAGGGATGTGGTAGCTCGTTATGCTATTCATAATGCTAATGTTGGTTTTTCACTCAAGAAATATGGACGTGATGATGTGCATGTGAAGACATTAGCAAATTCAACATGCGTGGACAATATTCGTTCTATCTATGGAAACGTAATTGCTAGGTAAATATTATGTATAAAATGTACCATTGTGTAGATATTCTTGCATTAAGTTTTCTTTCAACATGTTGCTTTTTATCACAGAGATTTAATGGAAGCAAAGGAAACTGATGAAACATTGCAGCTAAAATTTCATATTTTATCTACAAGTTTAGATTACCATGCTCCTCAGCTCACATTTCTTCTTTTTATAAATCATCGCCTTGTTGATGCAGAAGGTATTAGAGTTTATATGGATAAGTTTTCATAGTATTAATGTAATGTATGTACAGTAATGTAATGTATGTGCTTTTCTTTTATCACAAGGTCTGCGTAAGGAACTTGATCTTCTTTATGGCTTATACCTTCCTGTAGGAACACACCCTTTCATCTACATTAGCTTAGAAATGGCTCCAGAAAATGTTGATGTCAATGTACATCCTACGAAACACAGTGTGTTTTATTTACATGAAGAAGCAATAAATAAGAAAATTAGGCTAACAATACAACAATTAATCCTTGGCAAGCAAGGCACAAGAAATTTCTCAGTTCAAGTGTTTGTATGTTTACTAAGAATTCAGTATATTAGTTTTAAACAGCTAATTATTTTTCTTAATTATACTTTTGAGCATGTAGGTATTTGTTACTTTAAAACATGATGCAATGTATATGATATTTATTTTCTCTTTACAGTCTCCCCTTTCTGTCACAAATCCTTTAGCCCATGAAACATCTGTTGTGAAAAATAAACCAGAAGTTTATCCTTATGAAAAAGTACGAATAGATGCAACTGATCAAAAAATTGATCGTTTTCTTCAACCTGTAACTAAATCAGGAGATCCCAGCCTAAATATCATTCACGTTGATGAACCCTCAAACTTATCGCTCTTCAAACCAAGTGAAAAAACAGAGAAAGTACATAGTAGTGTGGTTCAAAAAGGTACTCCATCTCTATCTCAGATTGCAGAAAATCAAAACAAGTCTTTTGGAAATGTGAACAATGGTATTGCTTCTTCAAGCAGTATTGTTGGAGAAAGTAAACAAAAAGAAACTACAAACTCTGACCTTGAAATTAATTTTCAAGGCGATCCTGAAACATGTAGGGAGGTAAATGTGTCTATAGAAAAAAGTGTTGAAATAAATGGTAATGCAAATGATAATATGGAGTGTTCGACTAGCGCTGTATCACAAGACTGTGATATGGGAGGAGTTGACGAGCAAATACTGGGAGAAAGGTGTGCATTTTTTTTTTCTTTATAATGTTCTATTTCAGTAAGTATTAGTCTGTTTATTGAAGCTCATAATTTGTACAAAAACATATTAAATTTAAATGGCAATCAGTAAGGAAATTTTTAATAACATACAATAAAAATAAAAACTGTAGAAGTATGCAGGTAATGAAAATCGATTGAGAATTATCCTTACAAAGGAATTTTAACAAGATTCATATTTTAAAAATAAATTGTTTCTTGAACATTAAAATAATAAAATTGGATTTTTTGTTGTTGTAAAATTTAATATAAGAAGAGAAAATGAGCTACAACTAGGTATTTAAAAATTTATATAGTTTGATAAACGTTTTAATTGTATTTTTTTCTCTCTTTTTAATAGACGTGAATTCTCATTTACAAGTTTAGAAACTCTCAGAAAGCAAGTAGTTGATGACTGTGATCATGAACTTAAGCGTGTGCTGAGATCCGCTTCGTTTGTTGGATGCTTAGAATACAGATACATGTTGATGCAGCACAGTACCAACTTGTATATGTGTGATATTAAAGATTTATGGTAGGTCAGTTACTGGTCCAGTACAACTTATTCAATTCTACATTACCAACTTTGTTTAAAGCTTAATTTTTATTTTCCAGTGATGAATTTTTTTACCAGGTTATGTTATGTGAATTTGGCAACTTTGGGGTTATGAAGTTATCTGTAAGTATCATTTGTAAATTTTGAATATAATATCACATTAAAATCTACTTGTTAGTGGTTTTATTCTGCCTTATCTACTTATGTCTCAGCCTGTTAATTTCCCTTCATCTTTTTTTATTTCATGGAGCAACCAATGCCCTTGTCATCATTGTTGAAAAGTGCAGTGGAAGATTCATCACACTCCTTTTCAGAAGTTAAAGCTCTGAGTCAGCAATTAATAGAAAGATCTGTTATGCTTGAGGACTACTTCTCAATCAAAATTGATCAAAATGGCAACATTTTAAGTTTTCCATGGCTGCTTCGTGAGTTAATAAATTGCTTTGCAATAAAATTGCCATTAGATGGAATTCTAACTTGCATGTATCACTTTTCAGAACAGTATTCTCCTTGTGTATCATACTTACCGGAATATATATTAAAATTAGTCACTGAGGTAAATTGGAATGATGAACTATCATGCTTCAAGGGTGTATGTCAAAAAACCGCTTGGTTTTACAGTCAAATTCCTTCAAAGAAGGTAAGCAAAGACCATTTTATCTACTGAATAAAGCTATGAAATTATCATTGAAAATATTCAATCTGAATAAAATTTAGTTGGAAGCTCCATGTGGAACTAATTTACTGCATTTGGTAAGCAACCGACTGTAAGAGATAAAATTAGATTTAATATCATGCCTTCATGTTAATGTGTAATTAAATTTTCTTACTGTAATATTCAAAACTATATATTATTGAATAATTGTCTTTCAAAACTGCTTCTGACAAAGATAATAATATTAGTGAATCCAAAAATCAATTTGAATGAGTGTTGCTGATTGTAGTTATTACATGAAGTATGTTTATTAATATTGTTTTTGTTAATTTTAATGCTTTCAGGATCAGTTTAAAAACACCCAAGAGTGGAATTGGACTTTGGAGCACATTCTGTTTCCAAACATTAAACGATATGTATATCCTCCAAAGAAATTCATAAGAAATTTGTCTCTCTGTCATATCACTCGTTTTAAAGATCTTTTCTCAGTATTTGAACGTTGTTAAAACAGTGTTTAATATTTGTGTATAATAATTCGAAATAGAACATTTTCAAAGGAAATGGAAAGGTCACTTGAAAATGAACAAACACACTCCCAAAATTGGTCTGGTTGGACAAACCAAGAGGGAACAGAGATTCAAGAAGACCACAAAAGAAATGGCAACAGCAGGAACACTTGGAAGACTAATAGCCAAGAATACTGCAGTAAACCATTTGGAACAGATTGTTAAGCCTAATTTCTGGTTAGTTTGTGATGGTTGTGTAAGTGAATGAGTTCTTTAATTTCAAAAATTCACTGCCTAGCTAAATTTGTAAAAATATTCTGATTTGAAGTAAGATTATTTCCTTTAATGTATTTATATATCGTTAATTGTGAAATGGACGAGTTGTACATAATTTATTTCTGATCTACAATTATATTATATCAAAATCATAAAATTGTCTTTTTAATTTATTTCGTGAATATTCGATCATTTTTCTTCCATGTATTTTCCAAAAACCAAATAGTAATAGGTTTATAATTTAGACCTACTATATTATTATGTACTGAACCAATTTCAAATCTATTTAAATGATTCTTTACACTGAAATTTTATTACATCCTTTAAAAATCTAATACAGTGTGTAAGTGCTCTGATCAAAAATTAAAAAGAATTGAAGAAAAAATATAGGTCTAAGTACATCTCCCAAAATTCAGATTAGGCCCAGAATGTAAAATTAATTTGAAACTCTTAATATTAGGTATGTTATTTAAGGTTGCATCAACATCTATGTCATTAGTGACCACTACTGAATTTAACAATATGGTTACTGTGAAGATAACATGATAGGGGGTGAAAGGCCAAACACAACCCTATCTGAGTCAGGGCTCAAAGCCCGCTATTGCTACGGCACTACTGCCTTAACGATTTCGGCCATCCAGATAAGCAATATTAAGTAACAAAACCAACAAGACAAGTTTGAAATCCTATGTAATCATGAATGTTCTAGAAATAAAATTGTATCCCCATTTTAAATCACTTCTGATAATTATCACAATTTTTGTAATTATTCGGCCATTTCATTAACTTGTCAGGTGAAGAAAAATATTAAGTGAAGTGGCTAGTTTAAAATGATCATAGATGATGTATTGTTCTACATGAAAAGTCTCAAAGATAGAATCCAAGAATTTATTAAGACAAACTTTGAACATTCTATATAATTAACAACAGGGTAATAACACAACAATGATAGAAAAGTACAAAAAACTTTTCTAACAAATGCTATCAAATTTAATTTGCAAACAACTGTTTTATATCTTTACTTATATCATCTTTGCTATGTGTCTGAATGTTTTCTAAGTGAAATACAAGACTATAAGGAAGACAAAATTACATGCCCTTTAGTTTTCAATTAGAAAATTACAATATTTTAGAGATACAAAATGAATATTATCAATTGTTTAGACTTGACTCCATAGAAACCAGTAATTGGTGTTTATTTCAAATCATGTCCTAATATTTACTATCATGAACTGCAATGCTTTACACATTTTTTTACTTATTCTACAAATGGAAATCCTTTTTGTTAGTCAACTTTTCTGATGAAATTTAAAAATTTAAAGTTCCCATACATTTGTTTCACTCGATTATTGGCACATAACTTTAAAACAAAGTTTATAATTCAGTTCCCATAAACCTTCACAAACTAGTAAACATGCTTAACAAGCTAATAATCTAAATATAGAATAATTATCATCAACAGAGAACAAATTTATATTTATAAACAAGTAAATATGTTAATTAAAAAACTAAAAAATATGTATTTTGATAGATTCTTAACACTTACTTAACCTTTGGAACTGACATCATAGACTTTCAAAAGAATTATTTCAGCAAGTAAATAAACACTACTATCAGTGGTGCATATTGATACAATTATGGAAAGAATAACAAACAATTTTCTTCAATTATACTATGCATGACAAATTAATAAGTGTGATTGTTTCAGATCTGCTTTCCCCAGTTTTAAATCCATTATGCTGCTTGTACAGATCTCACAATGTCAACACCAGTGATATTTTTCACCACTTCTGGTACTTTTGAAACAATATCAAGAACCTCTGATGTGAGTTTAGATGCACCAACATCTCCATTCCCTGAAGACACCATAGTTATCTTTTTGGCTTTTGATATTGGAGCAGAAACTTCAGCAGCTACCTTAGGTATGGTGTTCAAAAGCATGTCAATCATAGCAGCTTTTTCATATTCCTTCCATGCATCAGCTTTCTTTGCCATTTGCTCTGCCTCTGCTTTTGCCTTTGCTTCAATTGCAAAAGCTTCTGCTTCTCCCCTTATCTTCACTGCTTCTGCTTCAGCCTCAGCTTCAAGAACAACACGCTTCTTGTGAGCCTCAGCTAGTGTTTCCAACTTGAATTTTTCTGCTTCGGCAGGCTTACGTACAGTAGCCTCCAATTCCCTTTCTTTGCGTTGAATTTCCTGATCCTGTACAGCTATTTCCTGGCCTCTTTCAACAACTTTAATTTGCATCTGTTCCTCTTTAATCCTCTGTCTCGTTTTTGCTGCCTGTAATTCATATGCCAGTTCAGCTTCAGCACGTTTTGTGAAAATTTCAGTATCATATGCTGCTTTTTTCAATTCAAAATCTCGTTGAGCTTTGGCTATTTCAGCATCATTCAAAAATCTGGATTCCATTCGCTGCTGTTCTGCATAAGCTTCTTTGATTTTGGCATCCCTCCTAGCCTCAGCTTCACCCATTCTCGCATCACGCTTCACTTCTGCTGTCCTAGCCATGCCCAGACTCATTAAATATCCTTGGTCATCACTGACATCTTTCAAAGTGTAGGAAATAACTGTGATCCCCATATTGACAAGATCAGATGATGCAACTTCAAACACTTGTTTACTGAACTTTTTCCTATCTTTATAGATTTCTTCCACTGTCATGGTCCCCATAATCGCCCGCTGGTGGCCTTCTAATGTGAGCAAAGCAATTTGCCGAATTTCAGCATCTTTTTTTCCAAGAAATTGTTCACATGCTGTAGCGAGCATTTCCTTATTTTGCCCTTGAATTTTAACTTGCGCAATACCAGTTACAGAGATCGGTACTCCTTCACAAGTGTACACCTTCGGGCTATCCACTTGTAATGTCATTGTATTCAATGAAATTTTCTGACATTGTTGGACGCCGGGCCATACGAAAGCTCTCCCTCCGGGTATCAACAAAGGTTTACGATAACCGCATCCAGAAATAACAAGAGCTTCATTAGGTCCACAAGTTTCGAAAAAAACCATGGTTATTCTCTTTTGAAGTGTTTAGCGTTCAAGTATTCTTTTTAGACACGGCATCCGCTACTTATTTATCAGATCACAAGACAGCCCTTCGCACTGATCACACGTCTGCGGGAAACTGACTGTTGAACTGACGAAGTGGCTTCGTTTCCTCCAGTTCCGACTCTATATGTAACGGCTAATTCTTGGGAACCTAGCCGCTCCCTAAACTCAGCTGCCAGAAGTAATGCTTGTTGGAGGCAAGCGGCAAAAACAGGAAGTTTATACAGTGCGTTGCGAACCAATCCCGCGCGGAGCGAGACCAGGCACCATGCGGGAGAGGAGGTGTTTGCATGCAAGTGAAACCGTGCCCAATGTGGCAACATCGCATTCGAAGCACGTGCTGCATACCAACATGAGGATGAGTGACGTTGCAGAACCGTGTAAGCCAGCTGGCATATAGAATACGCCAATGGAAAACGCGGAAAGCTAATTTTTTTTTTCTATTAGTGTCGGAACGGAGTGATACTGTCGGCCCCCAGGGCCCGACCGTCCAGTGTCTGCCGGCCTCATAATACAATTCCCCATGTTACACATCGGTCGGTGTGGTCCGGTTCTCTTTGTATGTAAACATCATTTCAGTCAGGTGAGTGTTGAAGTGGTGGGAAGCAGAGGAAGGAGGGGGGGTGGCATGCCAGGTGTACTTGCTACGTTGGTGAGTCATCAACAGATCGTGTACGCGTGTTGGGAGAGGATTTTTTTGTTGATTAGGCGGTCATTGAACAGACTGCACGCGTGACCGGTTTTTACGGAACGTAAGAATGAAAGTTATGAATGATAACAGCATGACTTGCTATCAGTGTTAAACTTATGCACGTGTTCAGTAAGTGGCCCCTCTTGACCTATTTTGAATTAGAAGCCAATGCCAAGTTATCTGTAGTTATATTTATTATCTGTAAAGTATACGTCAGATAATAACTCGCTATCAGTCAAGGTACATATCTGGAGTATATAAAGTGTGGATCAAATGGGCCAGACACATTCATCTTCTGTAAGTGTATAAAAAGGGTTGGTAACATATTTTATTAGTCAGTGTAATTATTTGGAGTCGTTATTGTGTTAATAGAAAATGGCAAATTTACTTCATGATCTCAATGTCAACACCAAGAAAGCCACTTTAGCAATGGGATGTTTCTGGGGACCTGACTCCTTATATGGAGCCACCAAAGGTGTTGTAAGAACACGAGTTGGTTATTCAGGTGGGGAAAAGCCATGCCCCACTTACCGTTCTATGTAAGTATTTTTTTTTATATAGAAAATGTACAAGATCAAGTAAAAATATTAATTGTGTTTTTATAATTCATATTTATAGTGGTGACCACACGGAATCTATTGATATTGACTACAATCCAGATGAAATTTCGTATAGTGAGTTATTGAATTTGTTCTGGGCCAACCATGATCCCACACTTAAAACAAAACCTCAATACACTTCCCTGATATTTTATCATGATAATGAACAAAAGCAAATTGCAGAAGAATCTCTGAAGGAACAAGAGCGCCTCAAGGAAGGAGTTGTCACAAGAATCATCCCCTTTAAGGAATTTTACAATGCTGAGGAGTAAGTTTAATGATAAAGAAAAATAATTGAAAGTTAATGTATGTGTGTATGTTTATGTACATTCATGTACGAAATATGTATTCATCAGGTGCTGATTCACAGGCAGGGAAATATGTGAAATTTCCTCCCCTAAAATTTTTCTATTAATAACTTAGTAGTACCTAACTAGTAATTTTAACCTGTCACGAAACTTTCAATTAGAAATAATTTTTGGATAATCATTGAAACAAATGAAAACGTATCGCAGCATGAGCTGAATGTAGCCTGTGACATTTTACAAAATCGTTATATGACACATTCGGCCAAAACGTTTTCAATTTCTTCTCCCAAATTTTGTCTGTGGTGCATGCATATATTTCATAAAATATACATGTGTATATTTGCCTTGAATGAAACTAAATTCTGAATTTGTATGGTGGAGTGGCCATAATGATAACATTATCCATTATGCTTTTGTGAAAAAGTATTAATAGTAATTTATGAACATTCTTTTTAATCAGTCCTTTTGTGCAAATATAAAGGCAAGATAATTGGGTCCTTTTGTGCAAAATCTTTATTTAGCAGTAAGCCTCCCTCCTCTTAAAGAATGAAATTAAATATCGGTTGAAGTACGATACAACCTAAGGGTTTAAACAGCAGTTAGTGCTGCTTAGGTGAATGGGAAATCCATGGTATAGGGGACAATGGAAGTGAGGTTTTGAACTCAATGCCTTCACCCTTATTGAACATTGGCATCACTTAAGGAGTTTCACTTAAACAAAAATCTGTAGGTAAAAGAAAAGTTCTTTGCTTTTTACCTATTCAATTTATCTGAATTATTATTTTGCATTTGTGTTGCATATTTTTTACTCGCCATTATTCTTTTGAAAGACAATATAATGTTCAATACAATTGTATTACTTTTACAAAAGAAATCTGAAATTAGGTTGTGGATAAGATTTGTTTTTTTTTACATTCATTTGCAATGTTCTTCTGTTTTAGTTATCATCAGAAATATAGGCTTCAGCAGTATCCACAGTTAATGGAGGCTATAGGCATCACAAAAGGCTCAACATTGTTGATTGATTCTCATCTTGCTGCTAGACTTAATGGATATGTAGTTGGTTTTGGCGGTGTTAATCAGTTTAATGAAGAAGTTGGAAAATTTGGTTTAGATGAAAAGACAATTGAAGATATCCGCGATTTAGTAATAAAATATGAAGGTGTGGGTATGACATGTTGAAATAGCCACTATTAGAAATTGTTGATTTGTTAAATCACTAATACAGAGAGGTTCCAATGATAATGTATTGTTTATTTAAAAGATCTTACTCTAACAAAAAAGCACTAGGTGATTGGAAAAATGATCTTTTCAATTTACTGAAAGTTCAATAATTTATCATATACAACTAGTGAAATTGTTTAATGAGTGATCAGGTAGAAACATAACTTGGCTGGACATTTGTACTAATAAGTAATATTTTCATTCTATAAACAGGGCAGTGAAGAGATTGTCAAAAAGCTGCCATTTGAGCTTTTAAAGTTTACCCTATCATGTTGATTCACCTAAGCAATCTTGCTTCCCATTCAGTATTATGGATTTATGTTTCTAACTTATAATGCAGATATGGCTGCATGATTGTATTGTCCTCCTTTGATTTGCATGTGTTCCTGCAATGAGCTGCATTATGAAACTGCTCGTAGCTTATGAATATATTTCATTGAGCCCTTATAATATATTTTAACTAATCTGCATTTAGCATTTTCTTGCAGTAGATATGTTTCTTATGACTCCAGTTTAATCAGTTTTACAGTTTATGCAGTACGATGCACAGTTGGGAGAACACATTTTAGGTAGTAAATAAATAGATTAATAAAAGCAAGTAATATGTACGATAGTGTCTGTATGGAGGAAAAATGCAGAGTGCATCTTTTATAGCAGTGCAGAAGGATATAGACAAAATGTAACATTCACCAAAGACAAGTTGTTTTCTTTTGCTCAAAATATTGCTTGGGAGTTAGTGTTGTTCAGTTGTATCATTAAATACCATTGAAAAACTAAAACTGTTGCCATTAGTTAATTGATCTAGTAAGTAATTATTACAAATGTTTTCTTAAGCAAAATTATATTTGAATGATGTGGCTTATAGGTTTTTAATTTATTAAGCTATCAGTGTGGAAATCATTCTTTTTGTTGATTATTGAAAATTGCCCCTATATTTACTGAAACTTCAAGATTTCTTAATTAGATTTTGTCATTTTTACTGTTTATATCAATATTATTTAAAATATTATTTTGTTTTGTTATATTATTATTTTGAATTATATTGTTTAATAAAATTTGATGGTTTTTAATTTTTTATAAAGTTGTTAATGAAACTTTAGGCATGAACTGTGATTTGTCCCAAACTCTTAACTTGAGTTTTCTGCAACCTAACGTAGTCATTGCTGTTACTTGAATTCTATTAATTGCTTTTGTGATTGTTGTAAGCAGAGAAATTTAATTTTTTACAATTTTGAAATAGCCTATGAGAAGGGGCCGTAATGTTGCAAGAATTAATGTTTGTGAAATATTGCAAATAAATTTATTAAACAGATCAATAAATAAAATGCAGTGAAAAGCACTTAAATAGTAAAAATTCATTTTTCAAAATGTTTAGTCTTAATATATGTTGTGTTGATGGCTTGCACAGAGTAATAATGATAATGATGATAATAATAATAATAATAAAAGTAACATTTATTGAGTCACATATACAATTACAATCATGTATGACGAATCAATATGATGTCTTGGGTGGAGAAAGCGAAGTCTTGGGAGGAGAGTGTAGAGAAAATATTGTAATGCACAATGAAACAGAATTCTCAACAGAAAAGCTCTCCTACTGCCAGGTCCTGGTAATGAAAAACTGGATAAATTTTGTTCCTATTATGCAGTAATTTATTTCCTCAAACACCTATATTAAATTTAGAATTCACGGATGGTGTATCATTGATATCAAAAATGCAATCAACAACATAATATTACTGGAGCAACACTTAAGAACTAAACTGAAAGCAAATTTTCACTAAAATGTGTATTCTCTGTTTGATCTTACTAATGTTGCAGATTCTTGAATTTGAACTATTTTGATTTTGACTTTACAAGAAGTCTCAACATTTTCATAATATTCTCAAGATTGACTCCAATTTTTTTCCTCTGATTGAGTAAAAAACAATTTTTGTTGCTCACTTTTTTTTTATATATATTTTATTTATTTATTATTATTATTGTTATTGCAAATTTTCAAAAAATGTTAGGTGACATTCACAACTACAAAATTATGAAAATGTTTTCTTGATAATTGAATTAAATCTTCAAGTAAGCTCATTTTCAATTTTTCGAATATATGAGTAGGTTTTGCATGCAACATTGGCTATTTTTAAATTAAATACTTATTTTCTCAAAAACTACTTCAAATTGTTTCTATATGTTCCGAATAATGGTAAAAAAAAGTGGAGCTGCTCCCATTTTCATCTGAAACTATTTTGAAAAAAAAAAAAAAAAAATTAGGCCTGAAACGATTTGAAAAAAAAAAAGAAAAATTGGCCAGAGTCGTGTTAGTTCCATTATTTTTAACTGAAGAACGGCTGGACCTATTTTAGTATTTCTGATTTTTTGGCATTCGTCTTGCCGGATAGGAGCGCGGCGCCGAGGAAGTTGAGGAGAAATACCAATTCTTCTTCGTCTGACTAGTTGCAATAAGCTTTATGAATTTCGAGTGTAACTTGAAACCGTTTTGCAACAATTACGTGGCGGAATTGAACATGGTTACCTGTGCATGGAAAAGTATTATCTTATCCTTGCGCGAAAATTCATTGTGGTGAACAGCGTTCCAAGTTATTCAGTATGTGAGCACCAACAACGTGCACAAGTTGCAACACGTGTAACGAGCATTTGTGTTTTTGGTGTCAAATCCAGCCAGTACAAGCGCGCCTTCAAAATTCTCCGTGTATTGTGCAAATATTGGTTGTGTCACTTTCTCATATATGCAGTATAGATGAAAGTTACGCAATTGCTTCGGGAAAATCGATTTCGGATTTCAACGGCAAGTACACGTTTTGGGTTCTCTGGATCGAAAACGTATTTTTTTTCAAAACATCTGTCCATCTATGAACACCCACTACCATACGAACAATTTTTTTCCAAAACGTATATTCCCCATCTTTCGCTCGATTCGAGGTGCTGCGAGTTTTAAAAAATTAATTCAAAAGTTTGAGGGTACCTTACATGAATCATCTGATTTTGTCAAAAATTTCTCAAGAAATGCTCCAAATTTTTCTTTTCTTTTAAATTTGAGATAAAGTACACTTGCGGAATGCTAAACAGGTAGTCTGATTTTCACATTAAACTCGAAATCTCTAAAAACTAAATTTCGAAAATGCCAAAAGTTTAATTTTTCGGCAATTTCCTACAACTAATTACAATTTGAAGATAGGACTTTTCCTTTAATTAAATTTGTTGTCCATAGTTATTCCTTCCTAAGGTCGTAACAGATTTTAAACGTTTAGTTGGTATCGCGCAAATTTGCGTACAATTATTTGCAATTTAAAAAAATTACCAAAAACAAGGATTTTCTCAAAAGGGCTCCAATTTTTTCTTTAACTTTTGGTGGGGGTCTTAACACTTTATGACAAAAAACGCCTTATGTCGCGAATATGCTTGTTTTATCACTCAAAGTACTGTGAGATATTTTGACAACCGTGACAACAAATTCTAGTATAAATATAAGTTATTAAAACCTAAAATGACAATATCTTATTAATCATAATTTATTTGTAACCGTCGCATACAAGAAATCCTGATGCAGCATTTGAGTCTTCCTTGCGACGAATCGTCTTTCGCACCAATTAATATCGAAGAAAGTAGCTTGTTACGCTGCTAAAAAGAGGCGCGTTTGTCTGAAAAGACGGACCCGCGAAGTTTCCTATAGCGTTAAGCAGGAAAGGTCAAATGGAAAATCGCCGCTTTAGTGCAAAAATACGTACCAAAAACACATACATATTCTAAAAAGGATTTCCCTTAAATACGAAGAGTACCCTTAATTTTGAAATCGTCTTTTAAGTCCATGACGGATACTTTAAAAATGTAAACATATGGCTTCCAGTTTAAAAAACAAAGTTGATCTTCTTAGAGAAAAACAGTGCAAAGCACCAAAATCCGTGTCCGTGTTTATGTTTACAATTGAACAGCCCAAAACAGCATCTTCGAATTTTGCACGGCTTAAGGAGACAAAGCGTATTTAACACTTTGTTGCGCCACCCACCTTGTGTGTGTTGATGGGGATGTGTATATATATATATATATATATATATATATAATATATATTATATATAATATATATTCTAACATACCCACCTACACCCACACACAGTAGCACGCATGAACCGTAAGCAGTTGTTCAAAGATTTTGCTCGTGAACGAGCTTTAAAAATTCTAGGGAGCAGGATCTTCAGGGGTGCGAGAAAGATTGAACCTTGACACAATAAAATCACACAGATTGCACACAAACGAGCGTATAATTTAACCATAAACTTAGTGGCGTAAGTTGATGACATAAACCCAAGAATATAGAATCACACTTTTACAAAGATAATCAAAACACAGATAGAAAACCTTTTGCCAAAACACACTCATGTGAAATGAACACACAATTTACTGTCAAGATTGATACTCTGACGTAATTACCCTAAAATACACTGGGAAATTTCCCTTGGAAAATTAATTATATCTTAAGTTGTTGCTATCCTAATAACATTGCACATGAAAATCAAAATTCAATTTTACAATCTCTCGCTTCAATAGTGACATGCTACAAGAAACAAATGTGTGCAGGCACTACTCTAATTTACAATTTAACTGTTCTGAAAATAGCCTAACTAATAAATGTCCTAAGTAAATGTTTTTTAGGCAGGCAATTAGCGCATCAAAACGTCTCCTACTATAATTCTGTAATTTGTTGCCAACCGTGTCCTCAAATTCTTTAGCACTTTCCTATACTAGTTTTCCCTGCCGCGTGAACGTTGACCTATTTTCTGCGGATCCGCTAACTATTACCCGTGGACTTTTTGGCCTGACGGTCGTGCGGCTTGTCGCTGCGTTGGACGCCGTTCGTCGCGCTTCTGCGTGTAAGAGAGACGGGATCGCCTCTGTCGTGCTGCGTTGCCTTCTTGCGCCTCTTCCGCTTCTCCTCCCCCAACCCGTTCCGTCTTCTCTCACGTGCGCCTGGATCCTCGGCCTCTTTTCTTCTTCCCTCGTGCTGCTACCGGCGCCTCTTGACTACGCCCACCGTTGCGAAAACGTCCCTTGCACTTTACCGAATACTCGTGCAAGTTGCCCGCGCACTTGTGCTACTTCTACTTTTACAAGCCAGAACTTTGAATGTTTCCTGCACAACGGGTAACATTTACTTCCCGTGTTGTTAATTGAAGAAACACTACTTAATCTGCACTATCTCGCGACGGACTAACTTAGAACGTCTGTTCCGACGCGAATACTGCCTACCTAGTATCGTTGGCAACGGCGCAAACCAATATCTAATGTTTAACACGAAAATGTTGACTCGTCGAACGTGATCAAAAGAGCAGCTGCTTACTTGACGCGTGGTGACCAGAAAAGAGAGCTTCCGCTTGCGGGTTCGCGTTATTATGGCACGCGCTCCTGGGAAATTTTGTGTGGGGCCCACTAATTCCCTTCTCTTAACCCTTCACAAGGAAAACATAGCTCGCTAGTTCGCATTTCGTTTAGTTACGGGCAACGGATACCAGGGCCGGCGCGTTTAAGTACCTCTGCCTACGCGTCTGTTATCCTCGCTTCTCCGGGGAGTGTTCGCACATGAGACGGTGGTGTTATGGGGTTGCACAATCCCAATAAACGCCACAATATATATATATATATTATATATATATATATATATATATATATATATATATATATATAATATATATATATATATATATGTAGCAGCTAGCACTCCGTCACAAGGGACGACACTATTACTCGCCGCAATTTGTCTTGAACGAAAGGGCCTTGATTCCCCTCTCTGGCTACCAATAAAACAGTGGAAGACCAAACGTTGCACGACCACTGATGACATTCCTAACACATCTTCACTGGCCGCAAATAGAAAAACCTATGTTCTGTCGAAGAAGAGAACTTCAGTCCGTTGTTTTCTCCAAAAAATGTAAAGAAAGACAAAGTGGCTTGAAGATCCATTACAGAAGATACCTCGAACTCCTGAGAAAGTTAGAACGCAAATTATTGGAAAAAAACTTACGAATACATGATCTGAATTCTCCAGAGATTGGCATTGCTCTATAAAATCTAGTGGCTGATTTCGTAGTTAATACCCCCCCACTCTTACCCGCATCTTCTTCATTCCATCGTTCAAGAAAGTTTGCGCGAGTAATACTGTCCGGTGGACTTCCATAGCGCTTTAATTGCATTGCCTCTGGTGAGGCCGCAAACAGAACGATGCCACGGTGCGGAAACGAACTCTTGCCAACGCGCCGATATGGCCTACCAAATGGACGCAGGAAGCGCCGTCGCACCGGGATTCCGTGTGAAAACCACCGAACGCGGGCGCCCGTAGCCCCGCCGTCCCGCCCTAGATAGTGGCTCCACATATTCGAATTCGCCGAGCAGCGGAGAACTTGCTCGCCCAATCCTGAAAGCTGATGTGTTTAGACG